AAATATAAATACAACGTTACCGTTATACCACCACAACTTGTATAATAACACTATAACTACGAGCATTCCGTTCTTAACTAATTACACTGATTCGTTTATTAATCATTCTCTATAGAGTGATATATTTCAAGACAATCTAGCCTTTAAAATTCCATTCAAAATTTCACGGTTTCACTCATTTAATTAACTTCGTATCAATCCCTCTATTTCCCAATTAACCAGTCTTTCAATCTACGACCTTCCGTTTCTATTCCCACTAACAATTATTTCATACCGAATCATTTGACTAGTAAAAATTGGTATTTACAATCATTATGCTTCACTCATTATTTAATTTCATATCAATCCATTTCCTAATTAACCAGTCTTCCAATCTACGACCTTCCGTTTCTATTTCCACTAACAATCATTTCATACCCAGTCATTTGACCACTAAAAATTGGTATTTACAATCATTATGCTTCACTCGTTATTTAACTCCATATCAATCCATTTCCCAATTAACCAGTCTTCAAATCTACGACCTTCCCTCCATTTCTATTTTGACTAACAATCATTTCATACCCAGTCATTTGACTAGTAGTATTTACAATGATCATTAAAGCGATATCCCGTGTCGCTATCGAAAGATTGCTCCGCGTCTTGTCACGATTGGTCGCGCACGGGGTGAAGGCGTGGTGGAGGATCCACGAAAAGCGAGGAGCCGCGGCCGCACGGGAAGGGGATGGATAAAGGGGAATAAGGAAAAGTCCTATTGGACTGTCGTTTTCTGGAAGAACGGTTCGCGGATCTGAGTCCCTCTAGGAACTGCAGCCCGCAAACCGCGGCCGCAACCGATTCCACTATCCAGAGACGAAAAGCAAAGCAGAAGCATAGGCAGGCAAGCTGATGGTGGGAGGGCAGACGTGGCGATCGGTTCGAACAATACCCATTGTCCGGCATATCATTTTCACGATTTTCCATCGGTCGACTTTCAACCGAGGAAGACTTCGTTCGGAGCTACCGATGAATATCGTTCCTCGATTTTCACTACCGCTGCGATACCAGCACCTTCTCGTTTCTCTTTGGTAGACCGCTCGAGCGGATGAAACGAACACAATGCCTTTTGTTTCTCATCCTCGACGCCTATCGACGCGGAGATTCGTCATCCTCGAACAATCCATTTTTTTTATCAGCTTTTCAATCTTCCATCCTGTTTACAAAAATCTGTTTATTTTACGGCCGCGACTGTATGCGCTTCTATACTCCTTTCCCCCGCCGCCGCCCCCCGCCTCCTTTGCTACCAGGGTTTTTTCTTCTGCACGCTTTCGGGAAATGTTCGAGAGTTTGCCGGGGACGTCTTCTAATCATTTTGATCAGGTGGAAAGTGGGAAGTGTGGGAGTTCGTTGAACTCCGAACGCTTGTTGTCAATCTATCGGTAGAAGGAATAGTTTACTAGTGTAATTTTATATGTGTTATTATCGTGGATTTCTATACTTTTGCAAGAAATTCGGGAGTTCCATAGAATCCAAGGATATAAGCGCGTTTCATAGTGCTCTATAGAAAAATCTATTCGCCATTATGTTTCTAATCATATTCAACGTTTCTTCCAACATTCTCAAGGTCTTCAAAGACTTGAAATTCTACGGCATTCATCGTCATTGAGATGCCAAATGACTCGGATACATTCGAATTTATAAGCCAGATTACACATATAATTCTACATAACCTTAACTCTTTGTACTCGAAAGCTTTTGACTGGAAATACTCAACATTTTCTGACGAGATATAGTCGGCATTGTTTAAAACTGATTTTGACAATAACTCACAGATAAATTAAGCAATAAAGTTATTTTATTTAAATGTTTCACATAGCAATACAAAGTTTAATTTAAAATACTAAATATTCAACTTCATAGCTTTGCTGTATCGAATAAAGTGGTAACTGAGAGTCACCTCTCGAGTGCAAAGGGTTAATTTTTCGAAATCCTCGCGCATCTTAACTCTCGGAGAACTGAATCTGCATTTCCTCTATTTTCACAACTCATTCAAATTTTTCCTGTCTACGAACGCATTAAATTTGCATCAACGATTGTCCAGTCGTGAATTGCAATTGCTTCTGGATTTTCCAGCGTTTGCTTTTGGAACGTCTGCGGAGTGCTCGGCTAGTTGTCCACGTGGATCGGAGACACGATCAATCGAATTATCGGTGGAAGGACACGCGAATCGAGTGGGCAGGTGGAAAATCGGCTGGGGAGAGAAAGGAGAAGAAGGGTGGATCCGTTTTTCCCCGAAACTCCGGAGTGACGGGTAATCATAATTTCGACAGAGTCGGTAGTATTCAGAGATTGAGATATATAATAAGCCCGAGGCTGCGTTCACATCACAGAGAGACAGTCCGATACGAGTGAGTAGGTACATTATACAAACGGGATACCTACCCCAACCTATGCCAACCTACTCGTTCATTGGCATCAAACCAACTACTACTACTAGCATCGCCACCGCCACTACTCACCCTCTTATTGCGTGACTCTATCCTTGAAAGGTATTCTCACTATCTACTGGGTGATACCCTCGAACTATTCGCCTCACACCGTTAACCCCTTGTCCTATGATTTCCCGACACAACCGGCCTCGACGAGATCCAGCTTATCCTTAATCAGTTTCACTCTAAAGGGTGTTAGACGCGTCTTTATCGCAATAGGATTTTTTTCCGAGGAAAAATAGAAGTTTCTAATCGGTTGACGAATTTAGTCGGAATAAGACGAAAGGAAATTCGTTGCTTCTAATTTAACGCGAAATTATTGCTTGGATATTAGCGTTTGTTTATTTGCCTCGGATGTAGGCGTTTTAAGTTTCTAAAGGATTTAACGAAGTTCACGTTATTAACACCGATGCGAATTGCTTTGATTACAAGAAGATTCGTACGCTTTGACGAATGTCGATTTTCGGCGAGATGAGAGCAAGAGACCGAAGTTTCCTTTTTCTATTGATTAAGCGATTGGTAGATAATTTAGCTTTGTTGAAGGCTTCTAGGATAATGTAACTTAAAATCTATGATACCAGATCATTAATCGTTCAGTCTATCATCCTCTGTTATGGAAGAATAAGTAACACTCGAAATTTCGTAGCGTTCGTGTTAACAGAGTTTACTCTAAAATATTCTATGAATTTACAATTTTTTAAATATTCTTCGCGTTCGATTCCGTTTAATTACTGTTCTGATCGAGTGATATCAGTACTAATGCTGCGTGTACGTTTATAAATGATTTCATAGGGCTTCTGTACCAAGAAAGGTAAAAAAGTGATTCCAAAGTGTGCCACCCGTTAGATAAGCCTACAGATATTCTGATGCGACAAAGAATTGATACGTTCCTTTCGTAAACGTCTCTCTTTTTTTCTTTCTCTTTCTTCTTTTGGAGCAAAGTACCGATGGACCGACAATGGAGCACATCTGTAGGTACCACGAAACAATGGCTACCGAGATTGTGGAACCTATTGCGGATAGTATTCCATAATATACCCTGTTGTTTCCGCTCCCTCGGATAGAACTAGCAGCACGCTCGATGAAAATATATGGCCCCCTTTCGAAGGTCTATCCAGACTGACACTAGCAGTGCTCGTTATTTCCTCCGTGAATTTTCTTCCATCCCTCCTTCCCTTTCAATTTTCTCCTTCCTCCCCCGTCGCGGCCGCGAAATAATTTACGTTCACGTCATTAACAATCTTCGAGCGAATTCTAACTTAACTTTAACGAAGGAAACGGATGTTCGTGAACGATATTTACGAAGGAAATGAATGTTTGCGAACGATAAGTAAACAAATCAACTTTAACAAAGGAAACGAATGTTTGTGAACAATAAGTAAACAAATCAACTTTAACGGAGATAATGAATGTGAACGATAAGTAAACAAATCAACTTTAACGAAGATAATGAATGTAAACGATAAGTAAACAAATCAACTTTAACAAAAGAAACGAATGTTTGTGAACGATAAATAAACAAATCAACTTTAACAAAGGAAACGAATGTTTGTGAACAATAAGTAAACAAATCAACTTTAACAAAGGAAATGAATGTTTGTGAACAATAAGTAAACAAATTAACTTGAACAATGATAACGAATGTTTGTGGATGATGATTTGTTTATAAACCTAACAATGCCGGCAGTTTTGAACGTTCTTAAATTCTTTTAAGGCGATCCAAGCGATAAAAGAAATTGTGTAAGTGAACATGTGACGTTAATATTGTACAATAGAGTAGATAAATATTTAAAAGATCAGATAATCGGGTGATTTTATTTTTAGGTTGACAAGGGTTGATTAAAAATTCTTTATATATATTTGGGACTTGTTGAAATTCGTTGTTTTGATTGAATCTGTTGGAACTTGTGTGAATAATTTTTTCTCTAATTTTTTGTGATTGTTTGATCTGTTTTGATCGAGCACATTTAATTTACCCGCTTTTGGTCGATAATCGTTTACCGAATTTAAAGCTAAAGAGTAGAAGAGGAACGTCCTGCCATCTATTAGTGAAAGCAAGGACTGACGATTTAAAATTGTCGATATGTTTCCTGAGTTGCGGTTTTCCAAAATTTAAAATCCGTTACCCATTGTCAGATTGTTTTAATAATAATAAAAATTATAAGTATGCAATTTTGGCGATACTTATAAAATAGTAGGAATGAAATGAGGGCGTTTCTTTTCGGAGACATCGTAGGCTTAATTACCCCTTTCGCGACGGATGCCGTGTATATACGTCAGTCACGTGGGAGTTTGTGTTGACAACGGAAAATATATATAAATTGTCATCGTTTAAATAAACGTCTATAAAATTCAGAAGTGGGATTGAACAAAAAAAAATTCTTTTCACTCCAGACAAGGTACGGCTGTGAGTGATAAGTGAGAATTTTGTGTTAATTGTTTTTGCTTAGTTGTTTGATCGAAATAATTGTGTCTTTCGGCGTGGTGTGACGAGATTAATAACATGTTCATTTCAGAAAGTAATTTTCTATTGAACACAAAGTTCCCTTAAAAATAATAATATAAATAATATGTATACGCATAAACTATGATATTCAAAGAATCTGAAGTATGTAAAAAAATTGATAACAATTGATAATAAAGGAAACGAATCTACAAAGATATAACATTAAATATAACGTCATAGTTTCTTTGTGACAAATACATTTTTATCACGTTACTGACGAACCAGCTCTCTGTGAATTGTAAATGATTTCCAGGAACAGAGAGAAAGTGAAGTTTTCCTGAATTATGTAACGCTTTCAATCCTAATCGATCCTAAAAGAAATAATACCTTTTTGTGACTAAAGTTTGAAAGTTTTGAATGAAAATAGTTTTAAAGTTACTTGTTTTGTACCTCGCGATACAAATCAGTTTCTTCGAGAGTCTGAATGATCTCTTCTTGTCCTGGCGCATAAAATCCAAACCATTCAGTTTCTTGTGGCTGAACTATAGTATCATTAGCAAATTTCACTAACACCATTGACTGTAGTTTCTGGAGATTATCTATGTAGGTCTGAAATACAACAATTGTAGAAAAGGAAAACGAATTCAAGTGCTTGTACATTTTAAGATTTTTCCTAACAAAATTACAAAAACTATTAAGAATGTACCTGATTAATATGAAGTTCATTGTTAATGTCAGACAGGAATATGCTCTTTTCCTTATATTCTTCTTCTTGATACGGATCATGCCAGTATGTGGCCTGAATAAATTTTTCCTGAACAAACCTAAAGTAAAGTAATAATATACTTCAGAACACAGATCTAAATATAAATGTTATTTGTATTAAAATGAAATTTAAAAGAAGAATGTAATAAAATTTAAGTACCTTAAGTATGCTCCAAATTTAATCACATGAGTCAGATGCTTACACATCTTGTGATTTATATTGGCACAGTTTGGCAATCCAAAAACACCTTGATGCTGACCACCCAAAGAAATGAAATTTCTAACTGGTGGATTAGGACATCTCTGTATAACAGCTCTCCTATAATAGATTCAGAGTTTACAAATTATTTCTAATTTGTGAAAAGCAGATACATTCTAAACTGATTTCAAGTATTTAAATGTAACACATACAAGAATTGGGCACCCTGTGAAAATCCAATAGCATTATAACCATTCTGTAAATATTTATTTTCTGATAGAAGTTTACAAACTTCTGACACTTGTTCATTAATGTTTCCATAATAACCATATTCCACATCCTGAAACATTGTATTATCGTTTCAAGAAACATTTAATTAAGTATATTCAATACCCACATGTAGAGAACAAAGTAAGAAAAGTGATGTTGAGTTGTGATATAATTTGGTAATGTAGTTTATTAAGTTATTATACAAATAATTCAATTAGGTTACTATTTTAATAATAAAAATGTTTAAACTTACCTCTACTACATTATTTCCTAAACGAATGGAATAAACATACACACCAGGCAATTTTTCTTCTATTAGTTTTTTTATTGCTCCCAAACTAAATGGGAAGCAACAACTGTCTCCTGAAATATTATAATACATCCTTATTGCTACATTACCATGAAATACAAAGAAACGTTTTTTATAGGAAAACAATATAAAGTTTTACCCATTCCATGCCATAGCACAACTGGAGTATAGCAGTAAACATCATTAACATTGCACATGCATATGACAAGAGGTAATATAAAAATATATTTTCCCAAAAAAATCATTATAAGATACCTACAACTCTAAGATGTATTAATCAATATTATTAAAATATATATATTTAACAATTAACTTTTTATTGTTCCTTACTTATTTTAACTGCGAAGTTTAATACAAAATTTGTTTTTTGTTTACATACAGATAATCCTATCGTTGATTGGTGGCGCCACCTGACGAAGATAAGCTGATACAATCCAAATTACATAGTACAATGTAAATATTTTGATACAAATTATCTGTTGAATAAAGTTTACACTTAGTTCGATTTCTTTGTGCCAGATTGTGTTACAGTCTAAGTCCCGTTTACGGATTACTTAGCGCTGTCGGTATTATTTGTTACCAGTTTGAGACTTTCGCCATGGATGGCAGCACTAGACAAAACTATAGTTTTGACTTGGCAAATGATTCGTGCCGCTTTTTGCATAGTGTATTATTGCTAAAACGGCAAACATCATTTGTACCCGTATTTGCAATTTTTTAGAATATGCGTGATAAAAATTATTTATGCCAATAATATAAGCGTTCAATTTATACAACTGTCTCATAATAAAGGGATAATACTTGTACAATACATTCAAGAATTTGCTTATGTTTTAATTCATATTTCTTGAATTTTCAACAAATGACTTTTCGCTACTTCTGAAATAAAATTAATTAGATCAAATAATTAAAAAAGTATATAAAATATAAATATTTTAATACCTTCTCGTATGACATGATAAATGACAAAATTTGACAGAAAAGAAAACTATAAGTTTCTAGGACGAATTGTCCTGATATAATAAAAATTGTATAGTTGCTTATGGCGGGTAGTAGAATGGTTATGTTTCATCAAAAGTTTAACATATTTTGATTAACTTTGTATAAACATTGCAAATCGACATTTAAGTAACATGGAGAAATGTAATAGCAATGAATCTGATGTTATTTCTCGAATACAATATGCATTTCCTATTTTAAGTGGAAAGGTTTGTTAAAATTTTAAGTACTTTATGTTTTTCATGAAAATTATCTAATTGTATTATATTAATTCTTATATCAGAATACCTATTTGCAGCTTCAAAATGAATGCAATGATGAAGAATTTACTAAAATAATGGAAGATATAAAAATATTAAACTTAAAGCATGTGATTGAAGATATGGTGATTTATCAAATAAAATATCACATGCGACAAAGTGTAGCTCCTGCATTTTGGAAAAAATTTACACCCAATGTAGACAAACAACAAGGTTTCGAACAATTTAAAAGTGCAGTAGATGGGTTATATACACGTATGACAGAGTTTTTGCCAGTATTAAAACGATTAGAATATCTTTTACAAGAAGATTCAGTTCTTCATACTACAACAACTGAAAGTGACATATTAAATCGATTTAAATTAATTGTAAGATCTACATTGTTAAGTCAGATACCACTCGATTATGAATATGTAGTAGAACAGTTTTATAAAATTGCATTCAATGTGTTTTGTTGTACAGATAATTCTACGCAAGGTAACTAACAAGAATTTATTACCACTTAGTTTTTAATGTTAATAAAGTTTTAATACAATTCTTGTTTCAGTAACTACTTCTAGTAATGATTATCTTCAGTGCACAGGTTGCTACCAGGAAGTAGAGAAATGTCGTTGTCAACAAATAGTAATCATGTTTCATGAAACAAATAGAAAATTAATAGAATTAGAACTATTGGAAAGATTAGCAGGGAATGTTCTAACATCATTGATACATGTGCATATCAAGAATCATGTTAATCAATCATGCGATAAAACATTTGACATATCACAGTTAGAGTCATTAGAAAATGTAAGAAATTTTCATATATACTATATGTTTATTGTAAACTGTTCAAAAGAAAATTAACTTTTTTATATTCGATTTTACAGTGGCTTGAAACAGTTGTTATGAGCTGGTTAATAAGAGTATACTCTGGTGGATTTTCAAAAATTGTTTCTTTAAATGATCAAACTCGCAATGCTATAAACAAATTTAAACAAAAATTGTCTCACTTTCTATATGAAACATATACAAGATTTAGAATTGAACAACTTTTTGACATCATAATAGGTATTTTTTTTATACATTAAATGTATTATTATTCATTAGATGTACTTGTTACTGTACATCTAATTGTACTCAGATTATGTTTGTATTTAGAGTATCCCGATTCTCAACCGGCAATAGATGATTTACGTGTATGTTTGGAACGAACTGATCTACGTAAAGTTTTAATAGATAGCTTACAAGAAGCCTTAACAACAAGATTGTTGCATCCAGGAGTAAATACACCTGACATATTGACTGCATATATTGCAGCTATAAGAGCATTAAAACAGTTAGATCCTACAGGAGTTCTTCTTGAAACAATAACAGAACCCATTAAGTAATTTTTATTAAGATTAAATAATAAATTACTATGTAGAAATATTCTTAATCAACTTTAACTTTTACTGTAGAAGTAATAAATAAGTTTAGTTCACTATCATTTTCTTAAACATATTTACATTTTTTTTTATTCCAAACAGAGTCTATTTGAGAACAAGAGAAGATACTGTGCGCTGTGTTGTGAGTGATTTGCTTGATGATTCATCAAGTGATTTGGCAGATGAACTGGTTAAAGGTGAAACTTTGCAGCTGGATGATTATTCTGATGAAGAAGAAAATGAAGATTGGGATAAATGGATGCCTGATCCTGTAGATGCTGATCCTGGTATGTTTAAATATGGAACATTACAAATTATGCTGTTTCCATTAAATTTTAATTTACTCAATTTTATAGCAAAATCAGCACAACGCAGAGTGTCGGATATAATCTCAATGTTAGTAAGTGTATATGGAAGCCAAGATTTGTATGTAAATGAATATCGTACACTATTAGCAGACAGATTATTATCTCAATTAAATTACCATACGGAACGAGAAATCCGTCACTTAGAATTATTGAAAAGACGATTTGGAGAAAATCAACTTCATTATTGTGAAGTCATGTTGAAAGATGTGTATGACTCTAAGAGAATAGATGGTCATATACAATCAGACACTAGTTACACCATAGAAAAAGAAGAGTTCCCTACATCTGCTTTAATTTTATCAGCACAATTTTGGCCACCATTCAAAGAAAACTGGAAATTGGAATTACCAAAAATTGTACAAAATCAATTAAATAAGTATGTGAAAGCATTTGAAACTTTGAAAGGCAACAGAACTCTTTGTTGGAAACCACATTTGGGGAATGTTACATTGGAGATTGAATTGAAAGACAGAAAGTTAGATATAAACGTGACACCGATACACGCCACAATAATCCTACACTTTCAAGATAAAAGTAAGTAATATTATAACTCTTGTGAATTTTATAATACACATATGTTCATAATTATACTTTTTAAATCTTGTTTACAGAAGAATGGGCTTTAGAAGAATTAGCAGAAGTAATGCACGTTCCTGCAACTGTACTCAGGAGGAAAATAACGTTTTGGGTTTCACAGGGTATACTAAGGGAAAGTTCTAATGATATTTTCATATTACAAGAAGAAAGTTCCACGAAAAGTAGATCTTTAGCGGACGTTGTCGAGGAAGAGGAAGTTGAAAGTGTAATGGCATCTGCGAGTGACCAAAGAGAAGAAGAATTACAAGTATTTTGGTCGTACATCGTTGGAATGTTGACTAATTTAGATTCGATGCCTTTAGAAAGGATCCATCAAATGTTAAAAATGTTTGCATCTCAAGGTCCGGGAGCGATGGAATGTGGTTTACCTGAATTAAGGCAATTTCTGGATAGAAAAGTCAGAGAACATCAGTTATTATTCTCAGGAGGTTTATATCGCTTACCAAAATCGTAGGATTCTAATATGTTTTGTATTCATTCAATCAAAGGAAACACATTTGTATAAAATACCATGATTGATTTTTATTTGTGTCTTATATTCATACTATCGTAATGATAGAATATACAGTAGTACACTTTTTACAGAGTTCGTAGTGAAAAGTGCATAGCATGATTTAATTAACTTGTATATGCATATTTTCTTGCTATGATTTTTAACAAACGATCTATAGTACAATTATGTATATATATATATATATATATATATATTATAACAAAGAAACGATACTCTTGGAAAAATTCGTTTATAATTAAAATTAGTTAGTTACCTTGAAACTTCGTTATAACATTACTTTAATGATTTTTCTTAAAATAAGTCAAAGACAATGTTTGTATCTGTACATATTTAAAGATTGCATTTATTAATTTATAATTGTTTTACATTATCTTCCAAGCAAACATTATGAAACTGTACGAAAATAATAAAAATGTTAGAATTTTAGTTACATCGAACATATGAAAATAATAAAATTTTAGAATTTAAGTCACATCGATGGTTGTATACAGGGTATCTTGAAAGACCCGTCGAAAAATTCACAGTCGTATTCTAAACCTAAGAACAATGACAAAGTCTTAATAAATATTGGTCCACAAACTTTTCATTTTGGAGGTATAAGAACTTCGTGTTTGCATGATATATGAATGCCTATTTTCAATATTATCTTTTAATATCTGGTGACAAATTATGCAGTACTTTAAACTGGCCGTATCTCCGAAAGAAAATACTTGTGAACCCATGTTCTTAAGACTTTTTCCATAATTTTAAAGTGTAGAATACATTTGAAAATTTTTCAACAGAACCCTTTTCCATGCCAAATTGTTGTGAATTGAACAGTGGCTCCATTTATTGACTAGCCTACGATTTTGTGCTATTAAATATGAAAACTTGCGAAACTAAAATGAGTAACTGCTTCTTTTTCTCGTTTTAAACGATAAATTTGTAAAAGTAATTTGCGATACAATTTATTTTGTACATTTAGCACTACAAAGTAACAAATGAAAATCGATGTCACAGTTTTAAGCACTTTTCATAGTGAACGCATAAGTTATTGAACTATTAGTCATAAACTATTTAATTGTTTCAACTAAAGTATAAGAAAATGAATATTGTCTTTTGTAATGATACATAGACGTAGAGTTCTGTTGTACCCTCTCTGTATTTGAAACGCAACTATCGTCATTCGATCCACGCATTTATGACATGAATGTCGTTGGAAATGTACCAATTATAAAATTCGTATTGT